GAGTTTGAAGCGTTTTGTACGCGGATCACGTGAGATTTGACCCGTGTCATCCCTACATAGAGCGTCTACCGACGCTCTGATAATAATTATATCTAAGTCACTGATCAAACTCAGGAGAGCCAAAATGATAGAGAGTGGCTCCATAAGTATATTGACACCACAAAATGTCACATCTCACAGTATTCTGAGTTTGCATTACAGAGCAGTCCCAAACATGCTAAACTAGGCCCGTTATGACAACTACTAAAACAGTTGGTGGCTGTGTTTACAAAATCAGAGAGCATGACAGGACATTCACACTGTTTCTCCTACAATATAGAGTACATCTTACACCTACCTAGTGGATGTTTGTCAGGGCCAACTGAGACATCACTGCGTTCACAAGGGTCAGGTCTATGAGACTTTGGATGAGGTTTGTTTGAGGGTTTGACCATAGTGTACTGGACAGGTGGCACCAGAGTATCCAGAGATGGCATGGGGGGCCCTCCGCTACTCTCAAACACCAATTCAGCATACTTCTCCCCTTGTGGCTGAGACACAACACACCACAGTTTACTAAACACATCATCAACTGATAGCTACAACTGTATAATATACACCACAGTGTTTGTGAAGGAAATATCAAGGACAAGCATTATTGCACACACACACTACACACCATTGCACTCAACACCCTACTTTAGTCTAAGAGTACATGAGCATATATGGTAAGCTCACTGCCTGAAGTGAGGTGGGTCCCATAGTAGAGTACTGAGAGGGTAGGGTGGGCTGGTGAGAAGTGACAAGGCCATCATCTGTACTGTGAGATGCCACCACTCTTCGCTGTGCAACAAGCCTCATTCATACTCTTTTCAACATTGCATATAAGTAATCTTACCATAGACTCGATGGTCTCACTGTACACCACAGTGGAGGAGGATCCATTGCCGGAGGCCTCGGTAGTTGGGTCAACATGACTGTAGTAAGGGACACTACTGCCGGTGGTGGTGATGACGTCGTAGGATGGGAGGGCCCGAGGTGAATGAAGAGGGGGGGAGGTGGAGACTGAAAGAGTCCCAGTACTGCTGCCAGGTCTCATCAGCATCTCCTGGGCACCGTAACTATGTGCACATACATACCAGTAATAAACCAGTATACACCAGTTACTAAAATGTAGCATACCAGTTATCTTGCACAACTCTTGACACTTTCCCTGCAACAAAATATTTCATCATCTTTACTGGGAGATCTTCACTTCTAAAACTTACATTTCTTCAATCGGTCTTTGTATACAAAAACTAGTACAATGAGGGTGACCACGGTTATTCCAACCAAGAACAGTGACGCCAACACAGATCCAGCAATAACACCAATGGAATTTCTAGGAGAAGTTGAATGAATAGAAGGTGTGGTAGAAGGGGCGACAGCTGTGGTCATCCCAAGAGAATAGAACACAATGTAGTTAAAAGTTGACAATATGATAGCTGGTTGGAGTTTGAGGTATCCACATACCTGATGGCTGCACACAGGTGACATTGCCAATACAAGGCAGCCATGTTAGAGAAGGAAGAGAGCATGTGGTCACAGTCTCTCCCACCAGAACCAGGTGGGTGTCACAGGAGTAGGTGACCTGTGCTCCTACTCTGGAACTGGTCAACTCACCAACACTGCCATTCACTGGTGGACTGGGAGGACCACAGCCAGCTGAGGGAGAGAGCAAATGGAATAGTTTATCTCTTCACCAAGTGAGACAACTTGCCAACAAAGACTTCCTCAGTGACCTCTGCACTAGTGCCTACACAGTTGATGGCTGAGACTCTGATTTCCAGAGGAATGTTGTACACTCCTCTAGAACTACAGTTGTACTGGTAGTGTGATGGACTGTGTAGTGGTGTTGTCAGTATTCTGTACTCATCAACCACTTCATCTTCCCCTGACTCCAGGATGATGATGTGGAGAAGTTCTCAGGTTGGAAATTCTCCGTCTTCACAATCACATAGATGGAGGAGATGGTGCTCCTACAGAAAATGCTACAAGAGTCACACAAACGAAATGATCTGTTGTTAGTTCACTTATGTATAGATGACCAGTGTGTCTGATTTCCGAGTATAACACAGGAGATGTTAGTTCGATTGGCGATGTCATCCACCATCACCTCCAGTGTAGAGGTTAAGTCAGCATCAGAATCGCCATCATCATTGTCTACTGAGACTAGAGTCAGAGTGTAGGGACCTTCTTCTATCACCATGGACTCTGGATCACTGGCAGAGAATCCACGTATTGCACCATTCTGGTTTCTCCATCCCAGAGCCACAACTCCACTGGCAGTACAGGTGAGGGTGACAGTGGTGGCAGGACAGACTGATATGATACCATCCTCAGATGATGGAGAGGAACACAGGGACAGACCTTGGACACCTACAGTGGTATGGATCAGTCACTGACTAAAATAGATGAAAACTAAACTAAAGATGGAAATTACACAGCTACAGATAACCTTCAGCTCTTGCAAACCTTTCAGTGACTTGATTAGTGATAGACATGGTACATACACCTGCATAAAAAGGTTCCAAGAGGCATAGAAGTGGGAGAAAAGCTCTTACCATGAGCATGTGTAATAGTGTTGCGTGCGCTCTCCGGCGACCAGACACTCTGTCCATAGCTACGGCCACAGGGACGCCAAGTGCTTTTCTGTGCGCGTGGTGTTGATCCTCCGATCTCACCGTGCCTATTCTCCGGCAGACGTCTCTACGCGACTGGCATTTCGGTGATGAAAAACTAAAGAGCAAACCCTCGGCGAACTGCGCATGCGCTATACCACTATGGGCTATCAGTTTTCGTTTCTCCCGCTACTAGGAGAGTCTGGCACGAGCTAGCTACAGTAGTATATAGCATGCGGGAGTCGATGCATGCCCTTCGTTGAGACTTCTTGTGTCTTCAAGATACACAGAGCGAGCGGACCTGGCCGAGGTCAGCAGCACCGCCCATTTCGAACGTCCAAAGTCCAAAGTTCGTGCTTATATTATACGCATGCGCACAGTGGTTTTTTTGCTTGTGTTTTTGATTTCATGATGGGTTGGGCCACGCAATTCAGTCCGCGACCGTGCAGTTTCTCGCTCTCGAACCCTGTCGTTTCAGCGTTTCAGCTTTTGCGCAGCGAGGGTGTTAGGCTCTGTGTGTGTGTGTGTGTGTGTGTGTGCATGCGTGCGTGCGTGCGTCTGTATGTCTGTCTGTCTGCCTGTTCTCGCACTACAGGGTTTGAGGCGGCCCATGCGGGATACCAACGATTGAGTTCAGAACTACGCGAGCCTGAAATTAAAATAGGGGACAGGAGAAATTAAGTAGGCCTGAATTTATCACGTGATGTGGGTGAGCTGTCGATCTGCTGCATGCTGCTGAGAGCTAGCTAGCTAGCTGAGCGCGCGCGCATCATGACGTAAGGCTAACTGGATTCTGCCGTAGCGCCACACCCTCTCGAACTACATCGTCAGCTCGTCATCATCCCACCGAAAGTGAGTGCGCCGCCGCCCTGTCTCACCTGACCACGAGAGAATCCCCGATTCGGCGAGTTCTGGACGTCTCCCCGTATTCAACACCGGGTCCACGTTTTAACACACCGACTGCGGCTAGCTAGTTTCACAAGGTAAATGATTGTGCTGGTTGTTTGTTGCTATATTATACGCTGTGGCTACTGTTGATCGGTATGGTAGAGGGTCGGTACTACGTTAAACGAGGGCAAGATGGCGTGTATATGGCAAGCGGATCCTGGGTCCGAACGGCGCGATTTCAATTGGCGAGCAGGAGCGAGCCGACCTACCTAGTACCTGAATATAAGGTGTGACGGCCGGCTGCTGACGGGCACTAACCCTCGGCGCGCATGCGCAGCGAGGCTTCCGGTAGTTGGCTAGCTGTGTGTGTACGTGTGTGTGTCGACGCTTATTCTGGCACTACAGGCCACGGGGTGGCTAATATGGGGTGCTATTCGTGTCAGTATTTCAAACGTCGATTTTGCCAAGGCATTTCCGTTTTGCCCCGGCAAAATTAAACTGCCGCGGCAATTGCCCCGGAAAAACCTGGGCCGGACATTTGCCGCGGCAAGAATAACTAGCTGGGCCATGTTCAATCGTGTCAGTATTCTTGTCGTTGCCGGGCCTTTTGCCGCTGCAATCTACTTGCCGCGGCACAATATTTGGCGCGGCAGCAGCTGATCGAGCACACTAGATGACGACTGGCACCAGCGGGGAGGATGGGGCGGGCCGGGGGCGGTGGTCACATGCTAGGCTCAGCTTCATAGCTAGAGATTCGGCCAGGGAGCTGGCCCCCGAGGCTGGAGAGAGAACTAGGTTTCTGTCTTGATGGATACGCTGGCAAATGCGCATGCTCAAATGGTGGGTTGCGGTACGTACTGCCCGGCCCCTTGCCTGGGAAAAATTCAATTGCCGCGGCAAATGGCAATTTGCCGAGGCAAGAGCACTTTTGCCGCGGCAAAAGGCCCGGCAACGACAAGAATACTGACACGATTGAACATGGCCCAGCTAGTTATTCTTGCCGCGGAAAATGTCCCGGATTTTTCGGCCCAGGTTTTGCCGGGGCAATTGCCGCGGCAGTTTAATTTTGCCGCGGCAAAACGGAAATGCCTTGGCAAAATCGACGTTTGAAATACTGACACGAATACCACCCCATAGGCTAATGAGCGATACCAACGGCTTCAGAACTACGCGAACCTGGATCACATTTCTGCACCCATGTTACATTTTCCTTAACATACCTTATAATGCTGGATTATAAACTGGCGCTAAGGGCGTCGACGCGCCGCTAGAATCCAGGGTAGATCTGAGTTACATTTTCCTTAACATACCTTATAATGCTGGATTATAAACTGGCGCTAAGGGCGTCGACGCGCCGCTAGAATCCAGGGTAGATCTGAGTTACATTTTCCTTATTCCCGGAGCAAAGCTTTCCTGACTTACATTATAATGCTGGATTATAAACCATTCTAAACACGTCAAGGCAAGAGCCTACTTAGAGCATAGTTTCCAGGATTAGTTTATAATGGCTAACATGGGTGCAGAAATGTGATCCAGGATTCTAGCGGCGATTCGACGCGCTTATAATGCCGGAATTTAGGTTTAAAATCCCGGATATGAGCAGTTAGAATTTTGTGCGTGCCATTGTGCCGCGATCGATCTGGCCAACCACGCGGCGTGTGTAAGCGTACAGACGATTGTGAAATTTCATTCCGTTCCGCGTATTTAGAATCATGTAAAACATTTCGGTATGTGCAGTGCCGTGCATAATGAAAAACACTAAAGTGCAAACCCTCGGCGAACTGCGCATGCGCGATACTGCTAATTGATGGGCTGGGCCGGCTATTTGTGTTTACTCGTGGTCTTCCGCTAGTAGCCCGCGGAGAGTCAGACTCGGGCTAGCTACAGTAGTAGATAGCATGACATGCCATTGGTTGTGACTTCCTGAGCCCCCAAGGTACACAGAGCGAACGGATCAGGTCGGGTAAGCCCAGTGCGATTATGCATATTGACTTTTTCGCTTGTTTTCACGGCATATCTCTCGAACGAAGTTGTTTCAGGAAAATCGCCTAATAATTTTTCAGGCTCCCGTAGTTCTGAATCCGCTGGTATCCGCTGGTAGCCTGTGGTGCCGGAATAAGCGTCGACACACACACACACACAGACAGACAGACAGACAGACAAACCAACTACCATAACCCTCGCTCCGCATGCGCGCCGAGGGTTAATTATCAGCATTGCAGGAGTGCATGTATTTCAGTACATTTTGGGCACTTTGGAGAAACCTCTGTTGTAGATATGTAGATAATCAGTGCATTGAAACTAGTGGTGGAGTGATAGAGTGTGTTATTTAGAGAAAGTTTCAGTACTAAATGTGAAGAGGGATAGGTGCCATCAATGTCAAGTCACCAAGACAGTCACCACCCTGTTGAGTGTGGTGTCTGCAGAGTGAGGCTGTGCAAGACCACCTGTTTTGCAGTTTCACCAGTTACATGGACTAAACTGATTAATTGTATGTTTCTTTATCGCTTGAACTCTAAATTTACACACTTATAGAAACGTCAACAAAACTCTCACAATTGTGAACTTTGACCCTGTACACAGGCGGCATGGCGGCATTATCTCATAAAAACCACCCACGCATCCTCAGAAGTGGTCAATCAGCTCTTGGATGTGGCGGTCGGAGCTTTGATGTCGCTTTCATCTTTTCAGTATTCATCTCGAAGTCAGTGCTGTGCATGTGATAATGGTACGACAGTCATACAGTGCACAGCCGAGTACTGTATGATCTATGGAGACCATGCCCCAAGTACCATTATCACGAGCACAGCACGTGCTTCTGTACAATCACTAAGAACAGTAGTAGTACTTAGTACAAGTAGAGTAAAAATCCTGCAAATTAAAAAAGAGGCATATAGGGATGGTATAAAAAGAAAGGGAGACAAGATAGCGATGGGATACATGAAGCATGGTTAACAAATGAGATTTTAGCACATTGAAACAACCCCGACGCCATCACACAATCCCTATATTGTTGCCTGGTGTGCCATTCTTAAACTCCATTTGGATTCTCAATAGTTGTATTTTCAAGCTATTGCAATGGTGAATGTTAATAATTCACCTAGGCAACAATATAGGTATTGTGTGATGGGGTTGGGGGTGTCAGCATGCTCAAATCTGTTCATTAACCATGCTTCATGTATCCCATCCCTACGTATCTTGTCTCCCTTTCATTATTTTTATACAGTCCCTATATGCCTCTTTTTTTAAATTCACAAGGATTTTTATTTACTTGTCTCCACTCATTTTTTTATACTACTAAGTATATCTATGTGAAAGGGGGCAAAATTGATAATAGAGAAAATCCCTCATGAAACTGATGTACGTAATATGAATGCGTACCAAGTTTCGTCTCCATGTGTGCTGCCATTAGAAAGTTTGATGAGTGAAAAAGTAAATGCTTTGTTGTTGTTTAAATAAAAAAGATGTGGTTGTCATGGAAACGACGTCATAGGCATTTGCAGTGTGTTAGAAAACAAAGCCATCTTGATGTATGCAAATGTATTTTACACTTCAGAAATGATGATGATGCTGTTCCACTTACAGCTGTGGATTGTTCTTCTGCCTCTTTTCTCTTCCGGTGCAGCTCAGAATGGTGTGTTTTATGTGCTAATTAACTTACTCGAGGATAATTGGTGAGCGGGAGCGAGCTAACCTAGTGGTACGAAAGGCGCGGAATTTTCCTCATATATAATATATATCTATGACTGTACGTCGTCAAACTGCGCATGCTCCAGGATTACGCGCTTCTTTTTATCCGAAAGGATTTCAAAATTTCACATGCTGCCTGCCTGTGATGATGTCGTGCGTATACATGTGCATATAGTCCGGGGAAGATGCCCTTCGTCGTCGAAGAGAGTGGGAAAGAGAACATCGTGCCCGTGAGACTCCTGAGCAGAGAGGCTCGTTTGTATCAGCGTCGCTTTCGTAATAGGGGACGCGCAAATTTTTACATGCTGCCCTAGCTGTCATATCGATACGAAATATAGCCAGCCAAAGAACTCTCGTCTATTTACTGCCATTCGCTGCACTCTTTGATACCTGACCGAGGCTGTCTATACCTCCTTCCAATCTTCTTGATTCTAAGGTTCAAGTGTAGGATGGCTAGTGCAGATAGAGTCATTGTGTGCTCGCTCCCGCTCGCCAAAAATGCCATGCATTCACCTACTAGTTACTTTGTACAATGAAAAGCAGTAAAGTGCAAACCCTCGGCGAACTGCGCATGTAACAAACATGGTAACAGACTGACACACAGGCAGACAGACAGACACACAGACCAAGTACTGTAACCCTTGCTGCGCATACGCGCTGAGGGTTAATGAAAAGCACTAAACCATCGGCTAACTGCACATGCACGGTACCGTTAATTGATGGGCTGGGCTAGTGGGAGCATGAGTAAACGCATAATCTCGTGGTCTCCCGCCAGTAGCTCGCGGAGAGTCTGACACGGACTAGCTATAGTAGTAGATAGCATGCGGGAGTCGATACAACTCCTCAGTGTGACTTCTGTTGCCTCAAGAGTACAGAGAGCAGCGATCAGCGTCAAGCGTAAGCCTGTGCTAATTAGCATATTTGCTTGTTCACTTGGTTTTCATGCCATAACTCTGGAATGCAGTACTTTTACATACTGCCTGTCTGGCATAAAACTGATTGGTATGGTTTTTGCCCAGTTTTTTGTGCGCGGTGGCATAAAACGTGGCAACGGACAGACTCACACACCTCACACACCTCACACACTTACAAACTTAGTACTGTAACCTCGCTGCACATGTGTACCAAGGGTTAATGAAAACCCTCGGCGGAGACACGTGCGGTGGTAGGTACTCATGCGACGAGCGCATGTCAGTATAGTGCTAATTGATGGGTTAGGCTATGGTGTCGTTGTCTGAGTTTTCCCCTAGCTTTTGTAACAAGGGCAGTAGTAGATAGTAGCATCACTAGACTCGATACTCGTCCTCCGTTGTAACTGCTGTGCTCCACAGTATATTCACAGGCACGCAGAATGTGGTCGAGTGGTAATTTGCATATTATCTTGTTCACATGCTGTAATTTTTGAACGCAGTGTTTTTATGAAAATTGCCAAATCTAAAATGAAGCTAGTGTAGCACTGAATCTGTAGATTATCGGCTTTTTGGCGCTGGCATGTTGCTTCGTTGGGGCGAGGCACGAACCGATCAGACACACAGACACAATCACACACGTACAAACCAAGTACCATATAACCCTCGCTGGCGTGTGCACCGAGGGTCAATTATCCATCAATGGGGGTCTAAGCCCTGCGAGCTGGCCTGTACCCTACAACTCTAGGTAAACCGAACCAGTAGATGACTGGCTCACAGACACTCACTATGCTACTTCACATGAGCTTTAGGGGCCCCTAAGCAACAGCCAAGATGCAGCTTAGCAACAAAGAGGATTTGGTATCTGTAAGCTTTCCGTTTCTCTATCAACGGCTTATCATAATGTCAAACCAGAGCTACCAGCTACGATACACAACTGCTTTGGTTACGTACAGGTTGGAAATAACTGTTTGCGATATGGGAGAGAAAAATCCAAGAAAACTAAGCGTGGATGTCGTGAACACTGTCGAGATTTGCAGGACAGTAGAAGAAAGGGAAGTCGTAGTGTAGTGGAGGGTGTAGGGTAGGAGTGAGGGCGAGAGGTGGAGGTAGCTAGGAGAGGAGGAGCGGGGTGAGAGCGAAAGCGCAGACGTGTGAGAGGAGGAAGAGTGGAGAGAGCTTTGGTTTATGCTGCTCTGGGTAACATTGTATTGTGCATCAACCTGACTCTACTATGGTTTTTTTTCTAAAGGTACTCCACAGCTAAGTTGTTCAGGATTGGTTAATGAGAATGGTGTCATTGATCTCTGTGAGGTTACCTTATACTACTACTGCCGGTGTGTCGTTACTGAATCAACTCGATTGAAGTGGAGTGTAAATGGAGTTATCAAAAGAGATATTTTTCTTTTTGACACACCGTTCGATTTGTTCCATGATCCAAATGGGCCGCTCAATATTCTTACACAGAGAATTGACTTGGGTGATGATGATGCAGACACAAACTTTACATCTCTCTTGTGGTTTGAATACAACTACCTTGAAAATGTGACTATAGAATGTGCAAGTGATGATTCATCATCTACCAAAAAGTTTAAGCGACCAGGTAAATGAAATTACTAATGTAAAATGGGAGGAATTGTAATTGTGTACAAGTAAATAAAAAAGTCTTCGAATTAATAAAGTGTGGAATATAAGGATGCGCAGTGAGGGTTATATTGTCGCCACCTTTACTGTTTGTTTAGTGAAGTGCGAGGACAATGGTGAAAGGATTCTGTATGTAGATGGCACCAAGAACGCAGCATTGTAGTTGAGCAAATGTAGAAGTCTTAGACTTCACACAATTGAAAATGGAGTAGATGGTGTTACCTGTCTAATGTGCTTATGAAATAAATCGTAGCTGTGCATCACACAAGGGAGCACACTCGTACTTCGCGGCCATAGAGGGCTTGTGTGGAGGAAATTTTGTAGGAGCAAGCGATGTCCGTTCAAAGTATGTAGCCATCATCCATTGTACTACTGCATCATGTTCACTAGGTCACCCGTCTCATGTCTCCTTACTTTCCCTATATTCTACACTTTTTTAGAATTTTGTATTTACTTGTCTCCTTTCCTTTTTTCTGCATTCACATGCATGGTGTGCAATAAAAAGGAGATATTTTTGGGCATAAGCCGATAAAAAAAGAAACATTAGTGGATTTAAGCTATCGCCTCAGACATATTGTCGTCATTCACATTACATCAGTGCACAAAGTTTCATTGTGAGAGAACCCATCATAAACAAGTTATAGGCACTGACACCATTTAAAAGTCTTTTTGCCTGAGGCTGTTGTTGTTTACAACCTTGTAATTTCTGTTTCGATGAACTCTTATCATGGCAACTCGGTGTACCAAGTTTCATTGTTAGAGGACCAACCACAAGTAATTTATAGGCACAAACACCATTTACAGGGTTTTATTGCCTAAGGCTGTTTGTTGTTGTTTACAAACTTGTAATTTCTGTTTCGATAAACTCTCATCATGGTACATCAGTGTACTTGTTAGAGGACCAACCATAAGCAAGTTATATGCACAAACATCATTTACAAGTATTTGTATGATGACTGAGAGTAAGATCAAAGGAATTCCAGCTAGTCCCAACAACGTACCGCGCTTCCTGCTGAGTTTACGGGTAGTTATATATACCATAAAGAGGCCATACGATTTCCCCATACTTTAGCTGTATGTCAACTTATTTGCATAAACCACAGTGGGTATAGGAAATTGGCAGCGTGTAATGCAATTTGGGGGCTTTTACACTCTTTGTGTGCTGCTGTTTCTTTACCAGAAGGTAGTGTTTTCAGGCTGGAATGGCCAGAAACTGCTCTAGTATATACGCGGTCTGAAAACGAAAGCTGCTTCCCGACGCGTAGGCTCCCGTAGACTGGAACAGTGTGTGACTTTCAGCTTTCTTGCTACTGCAACAGGCTGCATTCGAGAGTGCTGGGTATAGCGGGAGAGAAAGCGAGCCAGAGCGGCAGCTACAAAACTCGTGTGGAGTCTAGCAGCGAAAAAGTATAGCTTTGACGTACAGTGCTTTGCATAATTATAGAGACTGAATTTTGGGATTTTTAACATTTTGGTCCATTACTCGGCCATACTATATGCTGTGCACATGAGAAACATATCAAAATGATCAGCAAACGTTTCTGATCAAAGTGATCAAATTAATATTAAATCATGTGATCGTCATGTGACACAAATGGCTGCCAAACAAAGGTCTTTCAGAAAATCGGTTAGGCTGATTATTTCCACAAGCCTGGGAGTTAAGACTTGAACTTGTTATGCGCAATCTTAGTCTACTGGTGCATCTTCTGGGCCAGAAAAATTTCACCGCTCCAATACCGTTAGTGTGAAATCTGGCAAAACAGCGATTTTAGAGGTCCCCAGGGGTTAGGCTGATTATGCAGCCATCTTTACTAGTTAAGGACCCAGATTTCGAATATGACATCCAAAATGAATGTACTATCGATGCAAACTTACTCAGTTGCGCTGCCATCACGCGCGACGGAAAAATGAGCCCGTCTTCCCAGAAACGCGCACCTCTGAACGTGGCGACGGTCCCTACGGCCACAACAACCCGCTACTTCCACTGGTACATCAAGCATCAGAGGAGAAAGGCGTGCTGCCACCGCGGCCTCTAGGTGTCTCAAGAGTCGTCTCCCTGCACCTCTACGCATTTGGCATCGTACGCGTTGTACGGCTGCCTACGCAGAACCACGCGCTCTCCGCGACACGCTCTCAACCCACGGCAGTCGTGGAACTTCACGCCTTTCACCTCCGCCCAGAAAGACGCTAAAAAGGGGCAGAGGCAGAAAACCCGCGTAATGCGCGCTGTGCACGTAAACGCCACTTTCCAGCATCACGAGATCTTTGTACGTCATCACCAGGCAAGATGGCGTCCAAAATCGAGGGTTTCTGGGAAGACGGGCTCATTTTTCCGTCGCGCGTGATGGCAGCGCAACGGAGTAAGTTTGCATCGATAGTACATTCATTTTGGATGTCATATTCGAAATCTGGGTCCTTAACTAAAGCGCTTATTGCAGCTGTCTCTCTCCCGATCGATCGCTAGCTAGCTATAGCTCTCTCCGTACACTCGAGGGTGTGCGTTAAAAAGAGGGCGTTTTGAAAGCTTTTGCGCAATCTCATTGGTCAGAGCCTTACCACCAGATGTCATCATACAAATACGTTATACGATGGCTTTGCTTGTGGTTTACTGGTTGCACACTCGTGGCTTCAGTTTTGATAGACCACTCGGGCTACGCCCTCGTGCCCTATCAAAACTGGCCACTCGTGTAAAACCAGTAAACCACGCGCCGCCATCGATACTAACTTATTACCCTCGACGCGCATGCGCAGCGAGGGTTACTGTAGTTGGGTTTGTCTAGTCTGTCGTTACTCTCAATCTCACCTCTCGAATGTCTGTTCGTCCCAGAAACGATACCATCTACCCAACGGGCGACGAAGGTCAGAAAATATGTGGGGTTTTCTCTGAAAATGCTCCGTTGCAGAGCTAGAGCGCTTCCAGCATTGTATGGCCGGCTAATGCCGGTAGTCGCCATTTTATCGCTGGCGGATAATGCGCATACGCTTATATTTAGCACAGGCTTACCTCGACCGGGTCCGCTTGCTCTGTCTATCTTGAAGGCACAAGAAGTCACAACGAATGGCGTGTATCGACTCTCGCGTGCTATCTACTACTGTAGCTAGCCCGTGTCAGACTCTCTGCGAGCTACTTCGCCGAGGGTTTGCACTTTAGTGCTTTTCATTGCCTGAGGTTGTTGTTTACAAACTTGTAATTTTCTGTTTCGATAAACTCTCATCATGGTAAATCAGTGTACCAAGTTTCATTGTTAGAGGACCCACAATAAGCAAGTTAGAGGCACAAACATCATTTACAAGTATTTATTGCCTCAGGTTGTTTGTTGTTGTTTACAAACTTGTAATGTTTACATTTTGATACTAATGATGGATTGCATGTGTGAACAAAATTTATCATTCTGGGTATTTGCTCTACCTATTTGCTCTACCTATAGTTAGCACACTTTATTGGTCTCTATCATAATGTATGTATTGCCTGGGGCTATTAAACAATAAGAAATAAAAAATGCTTTTGCACGACCTGTAATGGATTCCAATATCTGTGCAAAGTTTCATCTCCATATCTTACCTGGTTTTTGAGATACGCTTGTCTAAACTAAACACCAACAACAAGAAGAATTTTGAAAACTGACTTTTTAAAATAAATCAAGTACCGATTATGCGATTTAAGCCATTTTCTTGGATACATGCTCTTTGTGACGATAAGGATCAGTCTGATGTGTCAAAAGTTTGATCTGATTGAAACTGAAAGTGAAACATGAAAATCTCAAATGTATGGGCATAATGAAGGACGACCTGTGTCATCCCTATATACTAAGTACTACCGTACTTACTGATCACGGGATCAAAGTGTTATTATGTGAGTTTTCTGCTGCCTGCACTGCCCACATGGATGCGTATGAAAAGCACTATAGGCGCACTAGACGTGTGCAGATGTCGAGTATACGCATTACACCCTTACACATGCATGCATGGGTCAGTACCGCTAATTGATGGGCTATGCTGTGATTTACTTGTGTCTACACGGGTTGGATAGCATGTTTTAGGCATTGCAAGAATCTATATTCATCCTCCATTGTAACTTTTGATGCCTCAACGGCACGCAAGCAGGAAAACGACGGCCAGCACCATAGTGACAATGGTCATGTCTCAGCTTTCACTATAGTGAATCTTGCATCCGTTCCTTTTTCCGCATGCTGACAGGTGCATAACTATGGCGTGGGGACGGAGTTAGCTAGCCACTAGAGTCGGGCTGCGTGTAGTACCCATCACAGGTGTATTAACTGTGCTGTTGCTGAAGGGTTCCTTTATTTATTGGATGCAATCGCTATAGTGCTTGTACACGAAAAGCTGTAGTACAAAATGGTTATGGTAATGAGATGCCTTTTTTTCTATTTCTATTTCTATGGGAGCTTATTATAATGGTATATCAAAAGTATGGCATAAGGTTCGTTAACCTTGCCCACGTGCACTGTAGAGGGAAGTAAGTGTATCCAGGAATGCAATGGCGCTGAAACAAATTTTCTTGCTTGTTCCAACCGAGTGAAAGGGTCACTCCTTCAAGAGCCAACGATTCTCGAGCCACTGGGATCCTGTAACCCTTCTGCGACTTATAAATTCCAGCACCTGTGGCAGTCGTGCATGTGTTAGGTAGCAATGCCGAACCTAGCGTCGAGTATAGACCCATGCAGGAGCCACCTTTCTTTACAAGAAGGTGGTTATAAAGGCACGTTCACGTTGCTCACAAAGACTCCTGCTGTAGCTGTACTCGAGGTCTCCACCACTGTGGTAGCTGGCACTGGCATGTCCTAGGGGCCACGCACAGCGTTATTGCTACTAGCTAGCAGCTGGTTTCTTCTTGCACTGCAATTGCGAGCCTTGATTAGTCTTTTTACGTTGTAGTGTTGCCATGTGTTTCTTAGCCATAGTTTACAGACCACTATCTAGTATGCCCAAATATCTAATATCTAGTTTACTACATGGAATTCACTCTCTGATGTCATATTATTAAATATCCAGAGGTGTGCACGATCGCCATGCAATTGTTTCGTCCTTGTTGCACATCTATAGCCCTTCCATGGAAGACAGTAAATGATGCCGTTCACTGCTGTTTGCTCAGCAGTGGAGTTGTCCACGTATGCCAACACGGTTCCCAGGCGTTTTGCCCAGTTGGGTTGACAAACTTACTGCTACTCATCATAAAAATGTATAATCTGATTGGTCACGGCTATGAATACTAATGACATCTACTCGAGAATGCAAGACAGACTTACCTGGAACAGCTTGGCTCTCATGGCTCCCTGTGACACTGGTTCTTCCAGGGAAAGCATATAAGCAAATGTGCTTGTCAGCATAGAAACATGGCAATTTTTCGACGAATTACATTCGATACTGTGCCCCATTTTTGAAGCTATTTGCTTTTGCATAGGCAGCCCATGTTGCAGCATTTATAACATGCAAAATACGTAACTAGTCTATCAAGCTAGACCCTCTCTTACATGCATGTTAATTATAAGCGCATGCAAACAGACCGGAGAGGGTCTGGCAAGGCTTTAATTTTAAGCCACATTGCGAATGGTGTACTGCACTTGTTGTTACATGCAGGCGGTAGATATTTTGGTGGCCTGCAAGAGCACCTTTAACGGGGGTAAAAATAATTTTAGATTTTTTGAACTTCATGGGTTGAATTCTACTATGCCAAGGAACAAGAATTTTAGGCTTTGTTTAATGACTTTAATGTACTCATAAGTTCATCAATACATTTCTATTGGAGCAGAGAAAATGTACGTTAGAAGTCGCGCACGCATTCGCGCAAATTGCGTTGCATGCGTTCTATGGTGTTAGTTTGACAACTTGTCAGGAGCCAAAAATTCTTACATGTCCTGTTCCATGTAAATGTAGCTGACATGCCTGAACATGGAACAGGACATGTAAGAATTTTTGGCTCCCAACAAGTTGTCAAACTAAAACCGTAGAACACATGCAACGCAATTGCGTGCACGACTTCTATTTAATCTTCATTTTTTCTGCTACCATAGGCACCCTAAATATAGTAATGAGTCATTAAAACAAAGCCCAAAAAGTCATAAAAATATATTTTTTCTTGTTCCTTGCATTCAACCCATGAACATTTCTTAAAACCCCCTCAATCCCTGTAAGTGCATAGTTTAGTATTACATTGAATAAGGGCAGTGATTCATGCTACATTTCACTCCCAACCAGGTTTAACTGAAGTGCCTACTGAACTTGATGTGTCCTATTTGAGTCAATCAGAAGATTCTGTAACTGCAAGATATGGATGGAAATATAGTGGAGATCTTGGATCTGTCTCCTATTTTCAAGTTGTGGTCGAAGTTAACAATGTGACACTATGCCAGAAGAAAGTGCTAAAATCAATTCAAGAGGTCACCTGTCTTCTCCCGTTCAAAGAGGGTGACAATTACACAGTGACTGTAGCTGTGGTTGATAACTGCAATATATCAGGTCCTCCATTGACAAAGATGTTTACGGCAGGTATGTAATGGTTTAACACTTGGAATGCAAGGGCATTCGCTTACTGGTATATTGTAGTTTGGTTGTATGAGTGCGTACAATTTTCATTTACGCTGGTGCCAAGCGTCTGTTGTCCGTTAACGGAGGTAGTTTTGTACGCGGGATGACCGTTTGGGACACGAGGTTTGTCCGTTATGCAAAGGTTAAGGTGTCCGTATCTCAGAGGTAGAAATATATGGAGTGCATGCAGTTTTTGGCAGAGGGCACGCAGTTTGTCCGTTGTAAGGAGGTTGTCCGCTCTTCGGGTGTCCATTATTGTTCCACTGTAATCAAGTTTGCATCGTGCCATGGGCATTTTACATTTACGACATGCAAAATAAGCTCTCTGAATGTTGCCCCTATGATTTGCAGTCGAAATAGTCACACTCCACCCAAAGTTCTCATCAGTAAGTCAAGTAATGAAAAGCACTGAAGTGCAAACCCTCGGCGAACTGCGCATGCGCGGTATATTAGTATGCGGTCTCCCGCTAGTATAATATAGCTGCAGAGAGTCTGACAGGGCTAGCTACAGTAGTAGATTAGCATGCGAGAGTCGATACACGCCCTTTCGTTGTGGACTTCTTGTGCCTTCAAAATACACAGGCAAGCAGACCCGTCCGGTGCAAATATAGCGCATGCGCATTTTCCGGTTCCGCAGCAATAAAAATGGCCGACTACGCATTAGCCGTACAATGGTGGAAGCGCTCTAGCTTTGCAACGGAGCGTTTTCAGAGTTCGAAATTTCTTACCTTCATTGCCCGTTCGGTAGGTGGTATCCTTTGTGAGACGAAAGAACGAGATGAAGAGTAACAGACACACAGACAGACCCAACTACTGTAACCCTCGCTGCAGCATTTAGATCGACGCCGCACGGGTGAACAACAACCTTGTGTCGTTTAGCTGCTGACAAACCCTCAATTTTATAGTGGGCAAATTGAGAGCCTGTCTATAGTCAAGCCTGAAATATATTATTTTCTTGACACTACAATGTGATTATTATTACAGTTCATGTGTAATCTGATTCACAGCTGCATTATCTATCTGAGTACATAAAAACACCCCATTTGAACCACTATGCCCTACATAAAAGAGCAAACTTTGAGATTAATGATCTGACCACTATTTTGTTGTTCTGTGTTTACTCAATCCTTTATCCAACCAACACAAGTACATGACTAGTGTTTACTCAACGTTTATCGATCAGATTAAGCAGACTGATCTGGTGGTCACATGCAATGCAGAGGTTGCCTGGTCTGGATAGCAGGTATACACACTTTGAGCATACACTCCAGCACGGCCTAACTCTTAGTGTGAAGCCCAATCAGTATTGTGAGGCAGCTTCCATAGATGCTTGTAATAGGCTAGCCAAACAATATTTTGTCACCTGTCTGATAAGAGAAAATTAGTTGGCAGGCTCTGTAGAAGTAAATAGTATAATATTTGAAACACCATCATAGTGGGCCTAATGGCCGAGTTCCTGTTTCCACGTTGGGAACTTTTGGCTCCATTCTTCATCATCACAGTCATGCCCTTAGCTCTCCCAGCCTTTCTTAAACACCTTTCTGTTTTTCCAGCACTTTCTAGCCTGCTTCGAACCATTCACATAGTAGTGCCTAACCCCAGTCTCTTATAGGCTGCTCTTTGGCATGAACTGGCAAATAGGGGGAAAGCAGACACATACAAATGCAGGTTCATAACATTCATTTCAAAAACTGATCTGTTATTCTTGTTTCAGTTTCTATAGGTTTACTTTTGTTGGTGGCGGTGCTGGTGATGGTAATTATTGTTGCTTTGTGTTGGTGTTCGAAATGCAGGAGAGACAAGGTATCACCGGTACATAAACACCACAGAAGGAAGCATCATTATATTTGTAGCACTGTAACATCTACGAAACAGGCATAACATAAGCATATGTGTGTAAAGCCGGCAGCTTGGCTACAGCTGTGATTACACATGGAAATTATGAGACATTCACATGTCCTTTATGAACTCTGGGATGCTTTCTGTGGCTAAAATACATAGCCATTTTTCTCTCTTGTGCAGTATATAAATAGTGACTGCAAGCATAACCTCCTAGTACTGCGCATATCTTTGCTATACAACGGCATTAAGTGCGACGAAAACCGGCTACCACGAGTTTTGCCATGCTTCCAAACACTTGTGAAGGTAAGTTGTAGGATCCTAGTCTAGCAAACAGTAACTGAGAGTCTGGCTAGTGAGACTTATTTACCCTCGGCGTGCATGCGCAGCGAGGGTACGGTAGTTGGGTTGTCCGTCTGTCTATCTGTCCGTTACTCTACATATCACTTCTCGAGTGTTTGTTTGTCTCACAAAGGATATGACCTACTTACCGGGCAATGAAGGTCAGAATATTTGTGCGGTTTTCTCTGAAACTGCTCCGTTAGAGCGCGAAAAAGCCAATATGCAAATAGGCTTACCACAGTCTGATCGATCCGCATGCTCTGCATACCTCGGAGGCACCAGAAGATGCAACGCAGGGCGTGTATTGCCTCTCGCATGCTATCTAGTAGATGTAGTAGCCCGCGTCAGGGCTCTGCACAAGCTGCAGAGACCACGAGTACAGTCTAAACTAAACCCAGCCCATCAATTAGTGGTACCGCACATGCATTTACTCATGTGTGCGCGTCACAATTAGCCGAGGGTTTGTACTTCAGTGCTTTTCATTAATTAATAACCACATTTTTGCTTCTTATGGTAAATTAGGAGAGTGTGTAGCTCGAAAGGATATTAACCACCTCTTGTGCTTCTGGGCAAGTGCACTATATGCTATACTACTGTGCTCTAGGAGAGCTACAGATTGTAGGCAGTTGAAAAGAGTCATTGTCCAACGTGAGAGAATAGTCTTACCCCTTAGCAGGGGAGATCATATGTAAATACATGAGAGATGTGTAAGTACGTATGTAAGCGCTGGCATGGACAGCTTTCATTACCGGGTTACCTCAGATTAATTAGTCCGTGCATCTCGCTTCCGATACCACGTCTTGTAGACTGAAAGAATGGTGAAGAGCACGTATGTGATTCATTTTTAAAGATTTGGACAGTTAAATCATAATGTTTGTATATACTACTTAAAGGGAATGTGGCAGTATAATATAATGGCTAAATTTTACTAAAAACAGAACTCAATTGTTTTGTTCTATCTTTAGTAACATTTCTAAATTTAACCCTTCTATACTGCCACATTCTTTTTAACTGTGAACCACCTTTAACACCAGGTGTATATTTATAGCTGTAGTGATATTATATTATACAGTGCATACCCCTCCACTGCTGTAGGTGGAGCTAGCCGATAGCAAGAATGCAGCGTTGGAAGCTTCGGCAGCGTTGGCTAAAGAGAAAGAGAACAACTCTGCCCTACTGGCTGACATCAAGGTTAGTAGTTCCACATTATCCAATTGCATCGTTCCTGGAAGCTTACTGTCCACTCCCTACGTTGTTGTAACACAAAAGGGACAGAGTCTACTCTATACTAAGTACCACATTATGTGTTAAGGGGGTACGGAGTTTGCAGCCATGGCTCCATGATTTTTCTGTTCATGTCCTCTGCTGTGCACTGTGCCAGATTGGTTGATTAACCCTCGGCGTGCATGCGCAGCAAGGGTTACTGTGCTTGGTTTTGTAAGTGTGTCTGTCTGTCTGTTACCCAACCATCACGGCACCGCTCATTTCCTGCACATCGTGCAATGAGACAGATCTGAATAGCGACAACCATGGGTTGTCAGCTGCTACACCTGGCGCTTGATTTTAAATTTGTCGTGTTTTCATAAAAACACTGCATTCAAAAGTTACAGCCTGAAAACCAAGTGAGCAAGCCAATATACAAATTACTACTGGCTTACCTCGACTGCATTTGGCCAGTTTCCGTACTGTAGAGGCATCAGAAGTTACACCAGAGGGCAACAGTCGAGTCTTGCGATGCCTATAACGGTATCTACTGCTAGCCCCTGTCAAAAGCTAGCGAAAGATGGTTAACCTGAGATACGTAATCAGCGTAGCCCCGCCCATCAATTATACTGACCTGTGTATGCGTATACTGCGCATCTCCGCCTAGGGTTTGCACTTTAGTGCGTTTCGTTAAGTTAGATAATGTGGCCTTATTTTTTCCTTATAATTATCTGGGCACACTATGCAATTCTGAAATACAAAAAATTATGCCAGGAATACTATAATTTCAGTGTATATTGTGTATTCGATTTTGTGATTTTGAGGTTCATCACAATGTTTTGCGATTTTAGTTACAAAAAAGATTGTTTTGAGTCATGCTGATGTGTATGTAGTCACCAAGCACACTGTGATATGGGCCTCTAGCCTTTTGTGATGCCTGTTTTTTTGGCTACAACTAGCTGCTTTCCCAGTGCATGCGTTTTACGTGTAACGTGGAGGACGCTTTGCTATGGGTGTAATGTATTGTGATGAGTTGTGATGAGTGCTGCACTCGCAAAACTCTACCAAAGGTATGGACTAATACAAATTATATTTAACCCTTTGGATGCCATGGGTATCTGCTTAAATAAGCAGAAATTGGTGTATAAGGTATTGGTATAACCCACATACATATGGACTTATGAAGGCTCTGGACACATTTGTGTCTGTGGCTGGTTAAGTGTTAAGGGTTGATTACCCAAGCAGAAGAGTACCAAGTACACTACGGCAGCTCTCTACGTTATGGCCTTTACTCCACTAAACAATCAATGTACTTTTTCAATGGTTCCTTTTGGTATCATGAGACTATGGTGTTTTGTATATATAGGCAGCCCACAGTAATGAGATGGAGAGAGAGAGGGAGAGAGCCAGGGAGATTGCCGCTGCTCTACAAAAGGAGAGACAGAAGTCTAAGGTCACAGTCAGAACTGTATATATCACTTAAGTACGGCAGTACTGGATGGGCATGGTACCTAGCATCATAGATGACTTGTATGTGGGGAGTTTTGTTCATCTTTTTTAACCCTCGATGCGCATGCGCAGTGAGGGTTACAGTACTTGGTTTGTCTGTCTGTCTGTCTGTGTCGACGCTTATTCTGCCACTACCTGTAGGCTACGACGTGGCCAATGAGCGACACCAACGGCTTCAGAACTATGCAAACCTGAAAAACAAAAACTGCGTTTGATAGGTATGCCATGAAAACAAGCGAAAAAGCCAATATCCGTAATCGAACTGGGCTTACCGCGACCTTGGCAGCATAAGAAGCCCAAACAAAGGGCGTGTATCGACTCATGCTATCTTATAGTGTAGCTAGCCTGTGTCAGTCTCTCCGGCGTAGCTATATGTGGGCATATAGCTACGCTGGAAGGCAGAGGCCTTGACTGGGAGTGTGTACGCACCTTGCTAGAAAAACGACTTACCGATTTTTGTAGTGATAACCCAGCCCATCAGTTAGAGGTACTGCACATGCGCAGTGCGCCGAGGGTTTGCACTTCAGTCCTTTTCATTTTATGGGGTCTGGATACCTGGGACTACTATAAATGTGTTTTGTGATATTATAGGTGCAGTATATAAAGGATCACCCTGCCAAGTCACCCCCACTGAATGATATTTCCCCACTGCAGTCTAACCAGCTGTTGCGTATTTCCAGTTCTGAGGCATCCTCTCCAAAAACTCCTGCCTCATTTAGCAGTGGAGACTCGGTGAATGAGCCACTTCTTCCCAAGAACAATTAATTATACTCTTACCAGGTCCGTAAGACAGCCGCACTTCTTCTCATGCTTCTATTAATGTATAGACAGCCACTAGTAAACAAACATGTTTGTAGCTTAGTTAGTTACTGAGTGTTTATGACAATAGGTGCCGATGTTGGACCATGCTGTTGCAATAATATTGTACTGTAGAACACACAAGGATCAATTATTGGCAAGCGGGAGCAAGCTAACCTAGTGGTCCGAACGGTGTGCTAACACGGTGGACTCTAGGGATTCAATACCATAAATCTTGCACTTGCCCCACGGCGCGCATGCGCAGCGAGGATTACAGTAGTTGTGTGTCTGTCAGTCCGTTAGTCAACATTCAATTTCAAGAGCCATCAATCGCTCCAAAAAACAATAATATACCACATATTCAGCGTCGGAAAAACGAGCGGGAAAGCCTAATTAACCCTCGGTGCGCATGTGCGCAGCGAGGGTTACAGTAGTTGGTTTGTGTGTCTGTGTGTCGACGCTTATTCTGGCACTACAGGCTATGAGGCGGCCTATTAGCGATACCAGCGGCTTTAGAAGTACGCGAGCCTGAAAATTAAAAGATATGCCGTGAAAACAAGCCGAAAAAGCCAATAAGCAGTATCGCGCATGCGCAGTTCGCCGAGGGTTTGCATTAGAACCGAGCGGGTCTGTTTGCAAGAAGTCACAACGAAGGTTGTATCCTGGCTAGGCCTAACATCAAAAGCGCACCGCGGTATGAATTAACTGCTGCCCGTATATACCGCCCACGCGCAATAATGAATAGGGAATGCAATTAGTTGATGCGCGCATTTGTATAGCAGAGAGGGTTCTTCTGCCCACGCGCAATGCATAGGGAAGTGTATCAGGAATGAAATTAGCATGAGAGAGGAATTTACACGGTACAGTGTATGTATACGCAGTCAAAGAACTCTACTAAACTAGAGCGTCAAATTGCGATCGAGCATGTAGCGCTGTAGACCACAGAGAATTTGGTGGATGTATTTTGGCGAATACGGCTTGCCACTCTTGTTTCGAATTTCGCCTACAAAAATAGATAACCAATAATTCAACTCTTCCACGTTAGCTTTCTCCAAAACATCACTCTGACGACTACCGTCTGAGACCATTGCGTTACGAACTAGCTACATCGCTGCGCTTTCGCTCTTTAGGAGATGAAGTCGGGGTCTCCCGCTAGCGCAGCCATTGCCAGCTGCAACTCAACGGACGCTAAACGTTTGACGTCACGTTGCCGTGGTGATTGTCCGTTTCCAGGATACAAGCTCAATCCCTACCACGTGCTATCGGTATACACACTCAGTAACATTACATAAGCCCTCGGGCTGGCGCCCTCGGGATTATGTATTCGCGATAAACACTGAGTAGACATGTTCTTGTGTATGACTCCCTATCTATACGTAGCAGCCAGTGTCAGGCTCTCCGTGGGCTACTAGCCGGAGACAGCCAGTTCTGACATACGTTCGACTATTCACCAACCACCCACAAAGACACAGACCAACGACAAAGTTGACGTTTCACTCGACTCAAGGCATCCTCTAACTTTTGCACTATTGCATGACAGGGGAACAGTGCAACTAGCAGAAGCAGTGGCTACGACGACAGGAGTAGTGTGTGTAGTGTGTTGCTTCACTGCTGGACTGCTACTTGGTGTTCTACTGACTCAATGTCATGGTCACTGTCCTGGTTATGAGGACATTTCCTTGGAGAAGACACCTCCCATTGAAGTCAGCACCATGCAATCTTATGGAAGATGATTGTCATGTCTTTACTGACTTCACCTTTCACAACATAAAAGCTCAGCTGTTTACATAACAAGAAATTGTTGCTGTTAATTTCCTACAAAAAACATTGATGTAAAGTATATCCTGGTAAGATTATACCTTGCACTACATAATCACTCAATAAGTGCAAACCCTCGGCGAACTGCGCATGTGCGGTACCACTAATTGATGGGCTTGGGCTCCTCTACTCGCGGTATCCCGCTAGTAGCTTGCGGAGAGTCTGACACGGGCTAGCTACAGTAGTAAATAGCATGCGGGAGTCGATACATGCCCTTCGTTGTGACCTGTTGTGCCTTCAAGACACACAGAGCGAACGGACGCGGTCGGGGTAAGCCTGTGCTAATTTACATATTGGCTTGTTCACTTGGTTTTCACGCCATAACTTTAAAACACAGTAGTTTTACGAAAATCGCCTTTTTAAAAATCAACCCAGGTGTAGCACTGAACCCGATCATATCGCTATTTACCTGATTTCGTGCGCGCGGTGGCAGAAAACGTGGTATATATAACAGACTGACAGACAGACACACTTACGGGACAACTACCGTAACCCTCGCTGCGCATGCGCGCCGAGGGTTAATAAGCCTATAATTATATAGTCTTTGAAGAAGACTAGCTACCTAGTTATCTAAAATTTGTGTGATATTATTTCCATAACCATAATTATTGGGATCACTTTACCATAATGTATAATTATAATGTGCATAAAACCGGACACACTGTCTCACCACAATGCATTCATAACATATCAGTTTCCTGCTTGCACTGTTCCCACTTTCAGTAGGCATAATTATATAGACCGTTTGTTTCTCTCACTACCTTCATGTGTCTGCCCAGTGTTTTAGCCTATAGTTCCAAGAGAGAGAGAGAGAGAGAGAGAGAGAGAGAGAGATGAGAGAGAGAGAGAGATGAGAGAGAGAAGGGGGGTGGGGTGTCCAGGTATGAGACTACTCGGCGCAGGCGTTGTCGGCTAAGGCGGTGGAATGAGCAGGGCGATGCAGGGCGAATCTTGATCCAATGCATAACCTTGCAATAGGGCTTGTTGTTTTTCTCCAGCAATCCTCTTGTACACCACAGTGGCAGTAGAGTTCCCATCCCTCCACATGTTGAGAAGACCAATGGAGAGAAGGACGCATGTTCCACCTCGCGCACCCTCTCATCACACTCTCTTCTTTTCTCATTTTTCTCATTGCGACGGTAGCATTGGGGTAGGGATGAGTTGCGGTAGCTTTGTGCGAAGGGATTGAAAACCCGCAAGTACAACTCCCGAGTACAAAAGCAGCTATATAATTATCCCTCGGCTCGCATGCGCAGCGAGGGTTGTTTGTCTGTCTGTCTGTGTGTGCGTCGACGCTTATTCTGGCACCACAGGCTACGAGGCGGCCTATTAGCGATACCGGCGGCTTCATAATTGCGCGAGCCTGAAAAAAAAAAGGGCTGAAACGACAGCGTTCGAGAGATGTGCCGTGAAAACAGGGGAAAAGCCAATATGCATTATCGCACTGCGACCTGATCCGCTCGCTCTGCGTACCTTGGGGGCTCAAGAAGACATAACCAATCGACGCCCGCATGCTATCTACTACTGTAGCTAGCCCGTGTCAGACACTCCGCGAGCTACTAGCGGGCATACAGCCGGCCCAGCCCACCAATTAGCATTATCGCGCATGCGCGGTTCGCGGGGGGTTTGCACTTTAGTGCTTCTCATTATCTATCGGCACCATTAATTTTGAACGAGGACGCGGAATCCAGTGAAATTTTTGCCGACTTATACGATCACAATTCAGTCGCGTGGAGAATAGGCACGTTGAGATCGGAGGATCAACACCACGCGCACAGAAAAGCACTTGGCGTCCCTGTGGCCGTAGCTATGGACAGAGTGTCTGGTCGCCGGAGAGCGCACGCAACACTATTACACATGCTCATGGTAAGAGCTTTTCTCCCACTTCTATGCCTCTTGGAACCTTTTTATGCAGGTGTATGTACCATGTCTATCACTAATCAAGTCACTGAAAGGTTTGCAAGAGCTGAAGGTTATCTGTAGCTGTGTAGTTTCAATCTTTAGTTTAGTTTTCATCTATTTCAGTCAGTGACTGATCCATACCACTGTAGGTGTCCAAGGTCTGTCCCTGTCTTCCTCTCCATCATCTGAGGATGGTATCATATCAGTCTGTCCTGCCACCACTGTCACCCTCGCCTGTACTGCCAGTGGAGTTGTGGCTCTGGGATGGAGAAACCAGAATGGTGCAATACGTGGATTCAGTGCCAGTGATCCAGAGTCCATGGTGATAGAAGAAGGTCCCTACACTCTGACTCTAGTCTCAGTAGACAATGATGATGGCGATTCTGATGCTGACTTAACCTCTACACTGGAGGTGATGGTGGATGA